CCCGGCCCCGGCCATCCTCTTTTTATTTTCTGAGACAGGGCCTCACTTTGCCACCCAGGCTGGAGTGCAGTGGCATAGTCAAGGCTCACTGAGGCCACCGCCTCCCAGGCTCCAGCGAACCTCCCACCTCAGTCTCCCAAGTAACTGGGACGACAGATGCGCACCACCACGCCCAGCTCATTTTATTATTTTGCAGAGACGAAGTCTCACTATGTTGCCAGGCTGGTCTTGAGCTCCTGGGCTCTAGTACCCCACCTAGCTCAGCCTCCCAAGGTGCTGGGACTGCAGGTGCAAATCACCACGCCCAGCACTCTGCTCTTTTCCAAAGATGCTAGGATGGGCTGGGCACCATGGCTCATGCCTGTAATCCCAGCACTTTGGGAGGCCAAGACAGGTGGATCACTTGAGGTCTGGAGTTCACGACCAGCTGCACAGCAAAACCCATCTCCACTAAAAATACAAAAAATTAGCCAGGTGTGGGAGGCACCTATAATCCCAGCTACTCGGGAGGCTGAGGCAGGAGAATCACCTGAACCTGGGAGGCAGAGGTTTCAGTGAGTCGAGATAGTGCCACTGCACTCCAGCCTGGGCAACAAAGCAAGACTCTGTCTCAAAAAATTAATTTTTTTTTTTTTAAAGATGCTGGGATGGCTGTCCCTCTCATGGGATGGGTAGGTCTTTCATCAGGGTCAGTTACACCAGCCAGGACCACATCACCCATCCAGGATTTGAATACTTCTCAGTTTGGTTTGATTACATTCACTGTAAAGACGGTGAAGGCCACTCAGGGGCCAAGTGCCTCTGCTTCCGCTCTGCTATCTGCGAATATGTGACCAACTCTTCTTTGCACCCTTTTCACAACTCCGGGCCCCCCAACACCAAGCCCTCAGTACATGATGGTCGGAAGACCCTTCCAGATGCCCCTGCCCACTGCCCCCGTCGTCACCAGCACAAGTGCCTGGCTGCTCCTGAGCCCCTGTGCCCCATCTTGCCTGGACCGCCTCCCTCTGCTACCACACGTGCAGCCTGCTGGCAGGCAGAGGGGCTCATGGTGTCTGGTCGTGCCCTGGTCTTCTGCCTCACACCCGTGGCTCCCTACCCCCTCCACAGCACCAATGCCCTCATCCCTCCTCTAATTTCTGAAGGACAGACATCCAGAAATCTCTGCTGTACTCAAAATCCACATCTCATCTCGGCAAGAGAGAGCCGCGCACTGTACATATCAGAGTGCACCGTCATCCCCAGGGCAGCTCAGAAGGCTCCTCCCTACCTCAGGCTCAAAGTGCGGCTCCACCCTGTTTCCTTTTGTTTACCCTCACTGCCAAAAGGACTGAAGGGGCCCCTTTTCCACGCAGCTGCTGCCCCAAGGATGCCCACAGACCATGGTCTTGGCAGCCAGCCCTTCTTCCTGCAGCTGCTCGTCTTCCCCGCCACCTTCGCAGCTTCTGGTCCCTGACACCCGCCAGTTCCACAGTCTGCACATCCTTCTCCCGACCACCCAGGAAGCCAACGCAGCCTGACAAGCAGTCTCCCCAATTTCTCATATTTGTTCTCCGCACCAGCATGCTGGACACCCACACCTTTTCCTGCTTTCTCCAAACGCCCGGTGGGCGACACCCTGGCCGATGTGTCCCCTGGCCCCCACAACAGCCCTCAGTGGGGTGGCACTCATACTACGCATGCCCCGTGGAAGGACTCGGGTGTGATGCAACCCCTCCCTGCTCTACGCCAGCTCACAGGGGCTCCAGACCGGGGTAGGCAGCAGCTTTTCGGGGACCAGCAACTTTGCACCTTCCCAGCTGCAATCTTCAAATAGAACAAGAGGCAAAAGTACCTGCAGGGACCCAGATCCCTCCCTTCACGTCCTTTCCACCCACGTCTCAGCTCCCTGATGTGGTTTCCTTCCTGAAACGCTGCTAATTTTAGCTCACTGTGCAAGCCACAAACACGTGTGCCCAACACAAGAGTCACCTGTGTCCACAACACCCTGCGAGAGGCCTGCCAGGCAAGCACTTAGAGCAAGTGCTAAGGGTGGACACGGACATGAACTCATTTGCCTAGAAGTTCTGGCATTTGGCCGCTGTACAATCTTAACATTTAAAAATCTACCTACTAACTTAACTGTTTTCTGAAAATGTAAGAAAGGCCATGCCAATCCAACTTACAAAACAGCACAATTTGCATAATTTAAACCAGAAACAGAATCTGCCTCTCATAGTCCAGCACCCTCTCAGGAGGAGGTGGGTTTGTCCCTACGGCAAGGAGTTAAACAGAAGGAACCTTGCCACACACGGATGGGTCCAGGAGTGGCTCCAGAAACCTCTAGAACCCAGTGGCCTGCTGCCCTGATTCACAGCTGGCCCTGGGAGTTCTTGGGCACTGCTTTGCTTGGCTCAGCCGGGAGGGACAGAGGAAGGGCAGGAGCAGCGCAGTGAGGGGAAAACAGATGGGCTTTGGGGATGGTCTCAGGCACAGAGCAAAGGTGGGAGGGAGCCCTAGAGGCCTGGTGCAGAGGGGCCAGCCCAGGAGAGTGGGAAAGCGACAGGGAAAATCAGGCAGTTCTGAAGGAAAGAAGAGTGTGGCTTCGGATGCCAAGAGAACCCTGTCTGGTGGCTACCTTGCTGGCCTCTCCCAAGGCCCTGTGCACAGCCTGTCTTTGCTGGGAATGCTCCCAAAACCTGGATGACAAGTGGCACTCCCACTTGGGGAGCTTGGGAAGGGCCTGAACAGCTCAGTGATGCCCTGCAGTTCCTGCATCTGAGGGCCACTGGCCTGGCCTGCTCATCACAGGACTCACTCAGGTGCCCCCTCCTCCAGGAAGCCATCCCGGACCCCAGCTGAGGCCCACATCCCTCCCATTGACTTCCGTATGCTGAACCTCCCCCAGCCGGCATACTGCATCCTAAATTAGGGCCATTTCTAATTTTTTTGAAAGTGTATAAAAGAGAAGACTGTCTCTATTTTGCTCTCCTTGTACCCTCAGCTCCCAGCCCAGTGCCTCGTAAGATGCCCAATAAATGACAGAACAAATGTTTGAAACGAGGGAGAAAAACTTGAGGGCTCAGGACTGGGCCTTTGTGAAAAGCCCACAGCTAGCGCTGGGAAAAGACTCCCACTTGGGGAGTGGGGAGGAGAGGGAGGGAGGACCTGGTCCCAGCAAATCAACAGAAGGTGGTGGCTCTGGGGCGGCATCCCACTCGAGACCAGGGCAGGTGTGAACTGATGCCCAGAGGGTGGCTGGTCGGAGTTCAGGGGCATGAGGGAGCTTGGGAAGGACTAGGCTGCCCTCAGGCCTGTCCTGTCTGAGGTGCAGGACAGCATGCCCCCAGCAGGAGGCCCGGTACAGGCAGAGCTGGCAAGTCGCAGGGTCCCAGCTGCCTCAAAATCAGTTATGATGACCTGCAAGTCCTACCTCCTGACAACATGGTTCCCAGACGCCGGCCGGGGTCACCCTGGGTCTGGGGCAGTCCTCTGAGGCCCGGGTCTCGAGAGAACTTGGTGTGCACAGTGCAGCAGCTGCCCCAGGCCCAGGTGTTGGTGAGGAGGAGGATGGGGAAGAGCCATGAAGCCTGCTGCTTCACAGGAGGCCTGCAGTGCAGCTCCACCTGTAGCCCAAGCCCGCCCCCAAGAGCTGTCGCCCCCTGAGACTCAGTCCCTTGTCTGCACAATTGTGGTGGTGCTGCGTTCTCACAGGTGGTGGCAGGGGTAACAGGGGCAGGAGGAAGCGCCCAGCAGTGCTGGCAGGCAGCACTCATTCCACGCTGGCAGTATTAGCCGTTGCCATAGTGATCACCCCTGCCCCTGCCGGAAGAACACCCTGCTGGAAAACCTGGCACCTCACAGAGGAAAGGCAAACCCCAAAACACTGCCCCAGAAAACGAGCAAAACCCCTCAGGCAGGTGGATCACTTGAGGTCAGGAGTTCGAGACCAGCTTGGCCAACATGGTGAAACCCCGTTTCTACTAAAAACACAAAAATTAGCCAGGTGTGATGGCACATGTGTGTAATCTCAGCTACTCAGAAGGCCGAGGCAGGAGAATCACTCAAACCCAGAAGGCGGAGGGTGCATTGAGCTAAGATGGTACCATTGCAGTCCAGCCTGGGCAACAGAGTAAGACTCTGTTTCAAAAAAAAAAAAAAGGAAAACAAGCAAAACTCAGTCAAGTGCAAGGAAAGAGAAGGGCCTTCCAGGCTGCAGTGGTGCCCAACATCAACAGCTGGCACAGGGAAGCCGTGCACGTCTGTCCAGTCACCTAAAGACACACAACTAGTGAACCCGAGCAAGCCTCGGCTAGCACTGGGGATAAGCAGCGGAGACACGTGGTTTTCACTCAGGACAGTGAAACTCAGAGGAGCCTCTGAAGAAGGAGTTTCCTCTGGAATTGGCCACTTAGGAGCCATGAGCTTCAAGCAAGATGAGAAGAAACGTTTGTAACTGTTTGGAGAAAGCATAGTTGCAAAGCTGAAGAAGCTGGGACACCTGCACAGGGTGACCTCGCTCCCATGGGGCACAGCAGACATCGTGTGGCCCCACACACACCTTGGTGACCACCAGGCCCCAACATCCATGGCAAGCCTCGTTGTTAGTCTTGTTTTGTCTACAACTGCCTCCCTCTGTTTCTCCCCACAACTTGCCAGGCTCAAAGGATGCTCTGCCAGGCCCTGAGTGAGGCGGGAGATGCTCTGCCGGGCCCTGAGTGAGGGCGGGAGATGCTCTGCCGGGTCCTGAGTGAGGGCGGAAGATGCTCTGCCCGGCCCTGAGTGAGGCGGGAGATGCTCTGCCCGGCCCTGAGTGAGGCGGGAGATGCTCTGCCACACTCTCAGCAGCCAAGGGCAGGCAATTCAGCAAGCAAACAGCAGACGCTCAGGGCCGTCAGCAAACAGCATTGCTCAGCAGCTTCCACCAACACTGACCCCCAAAGGAGCAGAGAGAGAAATAAAGTCAAGCCAGAATTCACTCATTAACCCCTTCTGAAGTCTTCCAGGATCCGGGCATACAAACTATGACGCACCTGACCGGAGGCAAAGCAAACTCACTCCCAGGAAGGTTTGTAGGGCATAAGGCACAGAGGGTGGAACTGCCCTGACCCAGGACCTTCAACGCCCCCTGCAGAGCAGGAGTGGGCCGGGCCGAGGCAGGATGCTTTCTGGGCTGGGGGAGGGGTGTGCAGCCCCACACGGGTGCTTTGGGTGCTTCTTCATGGCCAACACAGACCCAACACCCTGGGCCACACCCTGGAGCCTGACCGCAGGTTCGCTCCCAAGCTGAAGCTTTCTCCTCCCCACCGCGAACACCGCCCACGCGCCTGGATGCGGCGTAATTCCTCCAGGTAACTCACCACCATCACCATGGCACTCTATGCAGAGCGTTCTGTTCCGTCCTGAACAGAGCAGGGAACACTCCCTGAGATCACTGCTGGGTTCCAAAGGAAGGAAGGCCTTTCCAGATCTAGAGATCCACAAAGCCGGCGCGCGTCCGCATGAGGGGATATGGAAGAGCTCACAGGGGCTCCTGCAGGTGCTGGGCGTGCAGTCACATGCCACTGCCTCAGGTGCAGTGCTAATAAAAAGGTCACTTTGATGACTCACTTGTTTGTGAAGCAGGTGAGGGCAACGTACACTCACACGCCTGTCTGAGGAACATGCTAGACAAGACTTACAGGCAGGTAAGTGATCTGGAGTGAGCTGATGGAGCTGGGGGCCACGCTGGAGCAGCAAGCCCTGCACAGAAGGGGTCTCCCTGCCACGGGCGTCCGCTGCCCAGCCGGGAGCCCTCCAGAAACAAGGAGCTGCACACAGAGGGCGCCTCACAACAGAGGAGAGCAAGTGATGCGCACTAACAGGTATGTCCTTCCCACGAGGGCCAGAGGCCTGAGGCTCCTGCTACAGCTCCTTCAAAGGAAAAGACATTCTCATGATGCTGCGTCCTGAGAACCAGCTGCTCCAAACCTCCTGAGACCCCCAGCAGCCCCACTCAGGAAGCCCGCGCACCCTCAGATCCAGCAACTTCAACCTTGAAGAGAGCCGGCCCCTGGGGTCAGCAAGCTGCCACCCTGACCACAAAGACCTGCTCCTTCTGCTGCACACATCTGAACCTCGAAACCCTAGACACGGAAAGCATGTTCCACAACCAGAGGCGTTCCCTTCTCTGCTGGAGGCCAGAGGATGCCTGCAGGGACCTGGAAGTGTGCCCTGCCCCTGAAAGCACATGGAGTCTTTCTAGGAGTGGACACTCCTCTCTGCTTCTGGTCCAGGCCACTGTGAGCCTCCGGAGACTTTGCAAGCAGGCAGGTCTCCACATTTTACACAATATTGCCCCACTTCTCCGAGCATGTCAGAGGAAGTGTGGCAATGCCCCACAGCCCGACAAAGGGAACAGTGAGGCAGGAGGGTCCTGTCCCTCTAACTCCTGGCTGTGTGGGGCCACACGAGGCCTGCTGGTTGGAGTAGGAGAGCTGGCCAACACGGCTGAGCCGACCCTCAGAAGCATGCATTCACGTCCCGGGAAAACACTGTGACTCTGATGAAACCCAACCCTCCGCGTGCTCTTCTGAACACGCGCAAACACACACGCTGCCAGCCTCCTGGGAGTGTGCAGTGACCCTGCAGCCAGGCTTTAGAAAGCAATGCCACCACTGCACAGTCAGCTCAGCCACCCAGCACCTGAGTCAGGAGTTACCAGCTCTGGGACAGTGTGCTGTCAAGGCCAGGTCCAGGAAGCTGTGGCTGACGCAGGGGCGTAACGCCCCCGGTGGGCCTTACACTCCCCACGCCCCTAAAAAGGAACTCAGAGCTCTTCCTCTCTGGCCCTTTTCGACCCCTCCTCTAGGCTGAGGCCAAGAGCACAAGTTTCCGGAGAGCCTGGTGCTGCTGAAGCCATGCCAGGGGGAGGCACACTCAGCATCAGTCCAGGTGACGACGCTTTGCCAGCCCTGAGTGACGGGTCGGAGATGCTGCACCACACTTGGCAAACGGCAGGCAATTCAACAAACAGCAGATGCTCCGGGCAGGCAGA